GCCTCTCGTACGGTTGTTAGTTCCCAACTTATAAGTCAGTTCCTTGGGGACTCCGCATACAACCGAGAACGCATTAATTTGGTAACAGCCACCGGTCAGCGTATACCCGTCCGTGGAGAGAAGGAGATGGAGTTGAAGCTAGGTAACGTGATCTTCCTGCATAATGTCATCGTGGCTGATATAATGGACGACTGCATCCTAGGCCTAGACTTTATGAGGAATAATTGTTGTGAGATCGACGTTAAGCAAGTTGTTTTGAAATGTGGACAGGAGGAACTTTTTATGGAAGGTGCGTTACCAGGGAACGTGTACAGCATTAAGAAGATTGTTCTTCCGCCGAGATCGGAACGATTGTTCCGGTTAGTCTTCCTCGAAACGCTGGGCAAGCCCACCGTTGTGTACTTGTGGAAAGGGTAAACAATGACCTTCCATGGAAAGTAGCTCGAACCTTGGTCAGGACCACTGACATCTCAGGAGTACGTGTGCTGAACCTTTGCGACCGGGACCAGATTATAGAAAAAGGCACACTGATTGGTACTTGTGAGGAAGTGGATTGGTTACGTCGGTGCCAATATATATCGAGTGGGACCCCCAGCAAGGATACAGAAACGAGAGTGACCACACTTTTGGAAGACTGTCGGAGTGTTCTCTCCCCGAACGAATTGGTCAAGGCGAAGAAGTTGTTACTCAAGTACGCCGATGTATTCTCATCGAACGATGCTGACATAGGAAAGACTGGCTTAGTTCAACACAAAATAAACACAGGAGAAGAATTGCCTATCCGTCTGCGGCCAAGAAGATTGCCGGTAGCACGTGAAAAGGAAGTGGAAACCATGATTGAAGGAATGGTGAAGGATGGTGTTATTGAACCTTCCTCTAGTCCGTGGTGTTCACCAGTGGTGCTGGTGAAGAAGAAGGATGGCAGCATGCGGTTTTGTGTTGACTACCGCCGTCTGAACGACGTTACGAAGAAGGACAGCTATCCCTTGCCAAGAATTGATGACACGCTGGACATACTTACAGGAGTAAAGTGGTTTAGCACGCTGGATCTAAAAAGTTGAAATTGACCTTAAGGTCAAGGAGAAAACTGCGTTCTCGTCGGGAAAGGGTCTGTGGCAATTTAAAGTAATGCCGTTTGGGTTGTGCAATGCTCCAGCAACGTTTGAAAGGCTGATGGAACTTGTACTTACCGGGCTAATTGGCGATGCCTGTCTGGTCTACTTGGATGATTCGTGGGCCGTACGTTTGAGGAACACCTTCAAAACCTGGAACGCGTGCTCATGAAGATTAAGAGTGCCAACCTCAAGTTGAGCCCGAAGAAATATTCACTATTCCAACGGCAAGTTAACTTTTTGGGGTTTGTAGTATCGGAACAAGGTATCCGCACAGATCCAGAGAAAATCGCCGCTGTCAAGGATTGGCCGGTTCCAAAAGACAAGACGCAGGTTAGAGCATTTTTGGGTTTGTGCTCCTATTACCGGCGATTTGTGAAGAACTTTGCAGATATAGCCAAACCTCTGCACAAGCTAACCGAGGAGAAGCGACATTTCTGCTGGGATGAAAGTTGCAATATCGCATTCCAGGAGCTCAAGGACCGTCTGTGCAAAACACCTATTTTGGGATACCCTGATGCAAGCAAAGAATTTATAGTTGACACAGACGCAAGTGATATAGGACTTTGCGGTGTGTTGTCCCAACGGAATGGTGACCAAGAGGTCGTGATAGCGTACTTCAGCAAGTCGTTGTCAAAACCGGAAAGGAACTACTGTGTCACAAGACGCGAATTGCTAGCTGTGGTAAAGTCGTTTCAGCATTTTAGCAAATATCTTCTGGGGCGAAAATTTCACTTACGAACTGACCATGCTGCACTAAAATGGCTATTGCAGTTTAAAAATCCAGAAGGACAAGTTGCGAGGTGGATTGAACTACTGCAGGAATACGACTTTGAGATCGAACACCGCAACGGGAAATCTCATGGCAACGCAGATGCATTGTCAAGAAGACCTTGTCCTGAAGATTGCAAACATTGTACTAGGCAAGAGAGTAAGGAAGTGGTATCCGTGAGGATGCTCAGGGCAGACCACCTCAGCAACGAGTGGAAGGACAGCTTACAACGTGCACAGCAGGAAGATCCGGACATCAAGCCGATCCTGGAATGGATGAAGGCCAGTGCTCCCAAGCCCAAGTGGAGCGACGTCTCAGCGATGAGTTCGACCACTAAAAGCTATTGGGCCCAGTGGGACAGCTTGCTGCTTCAGGATGGATTTCTGTGCCGTAAATGGGAAAATGTTCGGGGAGACAGCTGTCATTTACAACTGGTTGTCCCTAAAGCTAAAGTACCGGATGTTCTACAGCTGTACCATAATTCAGGAGGCCATCTGGGAGTTAAACGAACTCTACTGAAAATCCGAGAACGGTTTTACTGGGTCCACAGTCGAAACGATGTTGAGGACTGGTGTCGCAAATGTACAAGTTGTGCGGCTGTAAAGGGACCTCAGACTCGTAGTAGAGGTGCATTGAAGTTGTATAATGTTGGTGCACCATGGGAGAGAATAGCCATTGACGTGGCGGGGCCGTTTCCGGAGAGTGAAAGCGGTAACAAGTATTTCATGGTTGTGATGGATTACTTCACTAAGTGGCCAGAAGTCTTCGCCATTCCAAATCAAGAAGCTTCAACAGTTGCAGATAAACTAGTTCATGAAGTCTTCTGTCGTTTTGGAGTACCTTTAGAGATTCACAGCGATCAAGGAAGGAATTTTGAGTCTCAAATATTCCAGGAAACTTTCCGAGTTATGGGTACTCATAAAACAAGAACGACTTCTTATCACCCGCAATCTGATGAAATGGTGGAACGATTTAATCGGACATTGGAGAGGTACCTAGCAAAAGTTGTAGACAATCGGCAACGAGATTGGGACAAGCACATACAACCGTTTTTGTTGTCATATCGAAGTTCTGTTCACGAAAGTACAGCAGTGACACCAGCTTTCGCAAACTTTGGAAGAGAATTACGGCTGCCTGCAGACCTGATCACCGGGATACCACCTGATGCTCCACGCAGTATAACCGATTATGCAAATGACTTGCGGAAAAAAATGAATGACGTTTATGAGCACGTCAGACAATCGGGCCAGCAAATGTCTGAAAAGATGAAAACCCGGTATGACCGCAAAATGAACAACAAAGGGTTCGACGAAGGTTCACTTGTGTGGTTGCACAATCCAGTCCGCAGCAAAGGGAAATCTCCTAAGCTTCAAGCTAAATGGGACGGCCCGTACCGGATTGTGACCAGGATCAACGATGTAACCTACCGGATACAGAAAGGCGCAAGAGGGACTCCTAAGATCGTCCATGTGGATCGCCTAGCGCGTTATTATGGGGCCGATAATGCTCGGGACGAGCATGTCTTAGGAGGGGGCAGTGTTACGCGCTCAAATCGACAATACACTAGCGCCATCTAGTGTCAGGAACGAGAGCGAGGGGAGCATTGAGAAAATGACATCACAAATCACTCAACCGACAGCGCCTAGTCGAAACTCGAACGCTCGGTACCTTGCGCGTGTTTACATGAACATTCTGGATATTTCTTTGCTAATTTAAATATATAGGCGCTGCAAGATGCGATCGAGGTAGTGTTGATTTGGCGAAACAAGCGAAGCTTCGGAGCGGAATAAAGTGAATTAGTGTGTTTAATTATTAGTGTTTTTAACTTTAATTTGTGTAAAGTAAATTAAAGTGTTAATTTAGGTAATTTTATCGGCAATTTTTAATTGTCACGAACCTCAAGCTCGTAACAATATTACAATTTACAATAAATTTATTTTGTACAATTTTTATATGAATTTTTATAAAACCAGCATGGTGACGAATGGCGATCACCTCATTCCCAGGGGTTATTTTCATTTATATATTCATTTATATTATAATCACCCTTTTTAGGGTTCCGTAGTTAACTAGAAACCCTTATAGTTTCGCCATGTCTGTCTGTCCGTCTGTCCGTCCTCGCTTAATCTCTGTGACCGTTAGCACTAGAAAGCTGAAATTTGGTACCAATATGTGTATCAATTACGCCGACAAAGTGGTAAAATAAAAATTGGAAAAAATGTTTTATTAGGGTAGGCCCCCTATATGTAAAGTGGGAAGTGATTTTTTTTTAAATTTCAACCCTAACGTGTGATATATTGTTGGAAAGGTGTTTAAAAATGAATAGCGGTTTACTAAAATCATTTTTTGATAATGTCAATAATTTCGGAAATAATCGCTCCAAAAGTAAAAAACAATGTGTGTCCCCCCCTCTAACATTTGAACCATAAGTTTAGAAAATATGAAAAAAATCTGCGAAGTAGAACTTTATAAGGACTTTCTAGGAAAATCATTTTGAACTTGGATGGAAACAACAGTACCCACTACCGGGAGCAGATGCAGGAGCGCGGAGCGCTGCTGGAGCGCGAACATAATGGAACCCACCTTTAAACTCATAAGTGGGAACACTTATTGTGACTGACGGGAAACTACGGAACCCTACACTGAGCGTGGCCCGACACGTTCTTGGCCGGTTTTTGTACAATTTTTCTTTAATAAAACATTTGAACATGTTTAATGGCATATTTTGAATATTTTCTGGAATTTTGTTGTAAAAGTGTATACATTGCCCCCATAAATTAATTACTAATTCTGTGGAATCTAGTAACTGGTATTACACGCTTTTACGCTATTATTACAAGCTTATGTTTGTTCCTAGTGTTTAAAGAATGAACATTTTTATTCTTATGAAAGCTATTTAGGCTTTTATGTACAGAAATAAGTTATGTATAAAAATAAATACTAAATTTTATTTAAATACATACTCGGTAACTTATAATATTCGGTTTGATTTGCAGACTAAGTCCGTTTGCTTTTTGACCTAAAATAACTCAATTTTCGGTCAGATTCTATTACATCACACATATTATATAAGTAGCCTCATAAATTGAATTGACTTATTCATAAACCACACTTACCGAGTAAAATTTGGGCACAAAATCACTTTGTGGTAGCTGGATCGATGTAGCAAAACGTCTTGTGATTTGTTTTATGTAATACTTTGTCACTGTGAATTAAATTAAGTACTAACGTTTTAACATAATCTTAAAAAAATTAATATACCTTAATTGTAATAATTTAACCGCAATTAAATACAACTCATTTAATAATAATAAAAAATTAACAAAAGACGCATAACACTCAATCTTTTAAATAATTTATTCTCGATTATATATAGGAGATATTATATTACATATATTATATATAAGATAGGTATATGATTATTTAAGTTTCGATGTTAAAATGAAGACCGCAAATTAATAAACTTGGAATTATTTTGTCATGAACATTATTAGTTTAACAATAATATATCAACCTCTGTTCGCCATGACGTATCGCAGCGAAATAACAAAATTGTAACTGAACGCTTTACCAACAAATCATGACCGTTATCACCCCCAACGTTAATTTACATCGAGAATTTACATAAATTATATTCATCATCACTCATTGTATTTATAAACCTAATGAAAGAAAGAAAATCCATATCAGCGTGAATATACCTGACTGGTTTCTGAGACTAACGATGTTTTGATTATATTTATTTTGTAGTAGTAATGCACATTGGCAAAATTGGCGTAAAATTAGTTCGTCTTCCTTCGAGAACCCGTGCATTCTGGTCTCTCGCCAAGGCTGTTCACGGGAATTTCTGTAAGCCATCGCTATCATCTCTGCACAGGGAGGACGCCTCACTGGCCCACGCCGTAAAAGAGAAAGCCGATATTTTAGGCACTCCTTTTTCGTCCAACTCGACTCTGGATGACCGGGGAACACACCTCCGACCATCCCGCGGTGTGATCTATGCCCGATGTGCGATTCATACAGTGCTCTGTACGTAAAGTGTAAAGTACTCCTCTCCCTGGACATCCAAAGTCGAGTGGGCCTAACGGGATCCCCTCAATTATACTGAGAATGTGTGCTCCAGAGTTGGCACCAATTCTAATGCGTCTTTACCAGTACTTCTAACCCCTAGGCGTAGTCCTGAAATCATGGAAAACAGCTTTCGTGCACCCGATCCCTAAAAAAGGTAACCGCTCTGATCCATCCAACTACAGGCCTATCACCAGCTATCACCTCTTTGTTCTTAAAAATAATGGATTCCGTTATTAACAGCCAGCTCATGGGGTACCTTGAGGAGCACCAGCTGATTAGTGACCACCAATATGGTTTTCCTCAGTCACTCAGCTGATGATCTTCTTGTTTACCTAACACACCGATGGGCGCAGGCGATCGAGTTCAAATGTTCAAACTTTGGCGGTTAGTTTGGATATAACGGAGGTCTTCGATCGAGTTCGGCACAAAACAGTTCTATCGAAGCTTCCTTCCTATGGACTTCCCGAGTAATTGTGCAATTGGATCACCAGTTCTCTGGCTGATCGGAGCATCAAGGTCGTAGTTGACGGTGCATGCTCCGATTACAAGCCTATTAACGCTGGTGTTCCACAAGGCTGCGTGCTATCCAACTAACGCTGTTTCATTTGCATATTAAGCCTGTAACATTCATTGCTATGTGGGCGACATCACTGGTATTCTTTATACACCGGCAAATATTTCTCGGCAAAATGTCACCGAATACCGGAACAAACTTATATCTGAAGACGAGATATTTTTGAACAAAGTCTCGGATTTTTAGTGACTAAATCTAGTCCAGTTCAATTACCAAAAGGCACAACCTTGCGCGGCTACCGCTAAAAAAAGCTTTACCCTTTTGTCGTATCAGTTTCGGGGCACTACCCTTGTTGCCTCAGCTAGTATCGGAATCTTTTGCTTCGAAATATCGAACGACGTGTAGTTTCATGGTCGCTTGAAAATAAAGAAGGCCAAACTGCTGCTCATAAAAAGTTTGGTGCGCTCTGCTGAGCGGGACAGTATTTCATCTCGACAAACCGCATGCAACTCGGCGCAGGTTCGGCCTCACATGGAATACTGTTCTTATCTCTGGGCCGGGGCACCCCAGTGCCAGCTCCTTCCACTTGACCGCATCCAGCGCAGAGCGGCTCGAATCGTCGGTGACCGAGCACTTTCTGATCGGCTTGACCCACTGGCGCTGCCAAGAGATGTGGCATCTTTCTGCGTATTCTATCGCATCCACCACGGGAAGTGCTCAGAGGAATTGTTCGGACTAATTCCTGCCGCTCAATTTCACCATCGCTCAATGGCCAATATATGTTCAATTGTTTTGGTCATCAATAGTAAAAAGAAAAAAATATACTGTTACACAAGGTTCACAAGCATCTTTATAATTGCAGTTTCTGCTATCTCATATGTTTCCCAGTTTTTTACCCAGTCGTATCAATACCTACGTTAAATATTCTTTATATAGGGCATTGAAATATGGACATTGCGCGGATTACAATTTAAACGACCACATGGATACAGAGTTCTTTATTACAAAATTGAAGCCTACTGAAGTTCGCATCAAGAATAATTTTAATTAGAAGAAATTTAAATTATAATGAAGTAAGAAACAGATACATATAAGGAATAGTGGATACAGGTACAGTATAACACATCATGTTATAGCTTGAACCATATATGACAATAAACAGGAAAAAAAATGCATTCGAAAACAAAATTATGAAAAAAAAAAGCTGAGCTTGGCTTAAAATTAAAATAAAATCACGTGATAGATTAGTAAAACGAACAATAGGACTGTAACTTGAATATTCTAGGGTAAGAGTAAAGAAGAGAAAAGTATCTAATTGTAAATTTCAATGAGAAAACTTGTAAAAAAGAAACTCGTCGCACAAGAACGGTAACTTCAAGAGGGCAACAAACTTGACCGAAACTACAATAATAATTTTCTTTTGAACCACAAACATTTGATAAACTTACTGTATGTAAATGCCGCTTACTAATATCGTCCATTGACACCAACCGATATAAGTATTAATTAATATGTAGTAAGCTAATATTTACGTTTTACACTTGTCTAACAAGGCACGTGTGAAACATAAAGTGAATATGAGTATCGCCCAATAGTACCAGTCAATGTATTACCTGCTACCTTGACTGATATTTGTCACAGTTTAGTTTAGTTAAATATAGGCGATAAAGTCTGTGAACACGTACAGGAGCGCCCCCGTCACTACATCAGATTTGATAGACCACAAATCCTCGCTAAAGAACACCGATTCCTTCCAAGGATGATTCGCGAGGCTATTGAAATCAAAAAATATCCTAATTTCAACAGAGAAGATGGCTGGGTGCAGCAGATGGTAGCTTGGGATCCTATAATAAATAAAATTAAATCCCAACCCAAGCATACAACTACAAGACTTCAAGATACCATAAGTTCATACTGTGTAGATCGGAACAAAAGTCAAATTTTCTATCTATGGTAACCGCGGTTAACTATGACACCTGGACGTTGAACATCTTAGTTCCCCCCGTGACCATGGGTGATGTAAAGCTCTCGAAACGTCGGGTATTTAAAAAGTTAAGTATACGCGATAAATTCCGTAAAAACTAGTATTATTTCAATGTGTAGTGTTTGCGTAAATATAAGAAATCATCGTCATCATTGCAGCCCTTTACAAGTTTAACTCTGTACATAGGTCTGCCCCAAGGAATGCCACAAAGCACGGTCCTGAGCCACCTGCATCCATCGACTTCCTACATGTCTTACCAGGTCAACGGGGTTATGCAGCGGTGAAGAGTTTTGGGGATATAACGTCACCCTGTCTTACACTTCTCTGCATTTGGATAGGTTTCGTACTCTGGTTCTGTACTCGGATAGACATCGTAGCCCTACTGTACAAACACTTCAAAACTTCGATATACCAACAGTCAACTTACCACCTCTGAAGGGACTATAGCATTGCCCAAATTAAGACGGAATCGAACAATTTCTCATAGTACACATACGCCTGGCAAAGTGGCAGATTGTACTCTTCGGACTTCTGTACAATTTGCCGAAGGGTATTTATATGGTCAATGGTACTAAAGCCTTTTCGGAAACCGGCTTGTTCGGAAGGCTGGAAGTCATCGAGTCTGCTTGCGAGACGATTCGTGATGACTCTCGAAAACAGCACGTAGACGCGTCTCAGAAGGAAAATCGGTCTGTAGTTCTTCAAGAGAGCGTTTTCGCCTTTATTGGAAAACAATCCCACCGCACTTCCTCCACGCCTCCGTAGTAGTCCCACCATGGAGGACAAAATTAAAGAGTTTTTGAAGGAGTAGTACCAGTTTTCCACCCGCTTTCAGAAGCTCCGCTTTAATTCCATCCTCGCCTGGAGCCTTGGTCGGAAGCTCGGAAACGATCCTGCCACACTCAATCTTCAGTTTCGACAGTTGGCTCCTTCTGGTAGACAGATAGACAGAATGATTTCATCATAAATAATCCTTCCTTCTCCATGAAGTCGGCCAGCTGCTGGCTCTTTGGGTCCCGTTGCCCTATTCCGAATTTCCCTACTTTCAGCTCACCGTTCTCTCTTGTGCCTAGTTTTGCGTTGAAGTCTCTAATTAACACCGTATAGTGGGTTTTGGAGGAATGCGTGGGGATGCCCGTTTAGGGATATCCTCATACATTTGCTCCACCTTCTCATCAGGATGTGTCAAAGCTGTGACTGTGTGCTGACGTAAACCCGTATGACCTATCAATCTAAAACCTTTTGGTGATTCTGAGTATAAAAACCCTCTTTGAAACACATTCTTCACTACTTTATTAATGAGAGACTTGTGGCCGATAAATCCGACACCTTCTTGGTACAGATGATCGCCCTCCCGGTAATAGAACAAGTTGCTGGATCCAAGGATTACCATATACTACCCCTCTCTTCAGACCTCAGATAATCCCACATTTCCCAGCGCAACTTGTGTATCTCTTCTTTCAGCTCCAGGATCTTCTCATCAGTCCTCAGGGTGCGTGCGTTATATGTTGCCAGATTGAGTCGATTTGGTGGCAACCAAATCTCCACCGGAGATTCTTAGCACCCCCTGCCCCGCCGCTACCACGGTCGCCACCGTAGCCAGGAAAAGCGGGGCCGCCGGGGACTGGGGCCGTTTGTTCGTAACTCTTATCTTGGGGGGTATATTGGGTATATCTGCTGCCAGTTTCTCTCTGTCACCTCTTAAGACACCCAAGGGTAGACATGGGGTAGTGGATATTCATAACTTTTACTACACGGCAATAATATTCTATGTAAATTTACTTTTTTAGTTTTAAGAATCGGTTTATTTTTAAATTAAGTAACTTAGATGAAACTAATTTTACGGATTTTATCGCGTTTAATTTAGATTTTTTTTTAATTCCCGTCTTTCAAGATATTGTAAGCTCATTAAAAAATTAATAATATTCTAAAACTGAAGTTAGCCGGGCTAAATATGA